GAGGCAACTCTTTCCCTCTGCCAATCGCTGGCGATATCGCCTTCTCTCTAGCGCTCTCTCGCTCACTTTCTCTGCTCGTCTCTCTTCTTGGGAACTATAAATAGAGGCGCTATCGGGCCGCGCGCCTCAGTCTGTCCTAGGGGTACCTAGTGTTAACATCTAAAGTGATAGTGATTGTGATTAACCTGCAACCCGAAAAATATGACGTGGCCATTGGAAGACATCTGGATAACCAAGAAGAAGAAGCTTAATTCGATCAAGATGATGAGAAGCCTAATCAAAGTCACCAAGAACATAACACTGGAAGGAATTACTGCGGTGAGTCGGAACCAATTTATATATTTATATCATTATATCATATCATATATCAGATGCTAGAGAAGGTATCAGGTCTAGGTTTATATCAGCTATGCTAGCTTTGCAATTATTTTCCTATTGATTTCCTTACTTGGTCTCCATTTACCTAATTTTAATTTAAAGTGATACAGCATTTTGTATTAAGAATAATTACAAACATGTACCCAAAGTTAAGAGCCTAAGTAAATTATAAATTATTCAACTTTTGCAGCAATATTCTAACCTGTTATGGGTATAATAATTTCTTATTTATTATTCTTCTTTTTTATTATTATATGATTAATTATTTATAAAATAGTTAATTGTTCGGACAAGGAGCAAGAACAAGGGCATCTATAGTTCTATTTAAAAACATTGAGATTAGCACAATAATTTATAGGTTTCTGACTTTTAGCATTGGTAATAGATTATTATAAAAAATGCAAATCCATCGCATTAGAGGAAAATAAATTTTTTTAAATAAAAAAAATTAAAAAATATATATAGATTTAAATAGTAACTCCTCTTCAAAGTAAATACCCATCTCTAGAAACGATATTTAGTCGCCGCAACGACTTAAACTGGCACCAAATGGGTTCTGCGAGAGGTTGAGGCTGGTGATTTCGTAATACATTCCCAGGACATGGGTTTAGGTATGGGGTATGGGGTATGGCATGCGGCGGGCATGAGGTGGGAATGGGGTTTCGGGTATGGGTATTAGAGAATGAGAATTGTACCAGTCCCGGCCGATTGAGCAGCACTTTGCCTGACTTGTATATTTTATAGTCATCTAATAACAATACCCAATGCAATTGCAAAGGACCTGGGGACACATGGATACCGCGGATACCTGGGATACCTGGCTTATGAACAGGTTAGTGACACAATCTTCTTTCTAACCATTTCCAACTGCCAGATTTAATGGGTGCCAAGTGCCCATGTTTTTTGTTACAAATTGTTATAGCGGCTTTGCTTTAATTTCCCCTTCGTTTTTTTTGTGTTATATTCCTGGCTGTAGTTGCATTTACTCAAATGTTATCTGGTTGCAACAGCATAAAGATATATATAATTCAGCAAAATGCCGCAAGAGTGCGTTGCACGCATATGCAGAGATTACGATTACGTATTCAGGAATGCACAGAGTTTAAAAAAAAAATAAGGCCATAAGCCACAATGGCCACGTCTCACCCGACTTGACATTTATTATCTGACGCTGCTACTGCTGTCTTCTGCTCACTCGGCTGCACTTGCCACATACCCTTGCCCCCTACCCCCAAAAAGGGTCTCTCTAAGTAACCATAAGTGACATTTATGTTATTCATTATATATTTAGATTTGAATTTAAATAATTTATTTAGGAGTAAGAATACTTTAAGTAGTTGTAAAACTTCCTTTCAGAGGGTATTCCCAGCTTCCATTTAAAGGAAAACTCCCTGGAAACACATGAGTCAGTGCAGGGACTGAGTGAGTGAATGTGGGATGTGGCAGGAGATCCGGAGCCGGAGTCGGAGCCGGAGCCGGAGCTCGTTTGCGGTTGGCGGTTGCCGGACGGAGGCATTTGCATGCCCAACTGGCTCCTACGTGGGAGGATTGGTACATGTTGTAGGCTTCACAGGACGAGGGGATCACGGATGCTGGATAACCGAACTGTGGAATTGGCCTTTTTGATTTCGTTAGCAAGTTTCGGTACAAAACTCGCTTATTACCAAGTCCGTACACGTTTTCTAGCAAATGTGCATTTTTCGCTAAATGTTTTGGTAAATGTTTCCGCTCTTAACTTTATAATTAGTTGATGCTGCTGCGACGTAAGAGGGCGGAAAAGAGCAGGGAAAAGGGATGAAGAAAACAAGGAGAAAGTGGAAATAGAGGGGGAAAAGTGGTAGAACCTAGGGGCCAGCGGAAATTATGCAAGTCAAGAGAGAAAGAAGTCTTTGCCCTAAGGGCAGGTTAAGTGTCGCGGAAAAAACTGCACGCGAAATGTTTGTCTTGGTTAATTAAGAAAAGATTAAAAATACACACACACAAAACTTTCTTATTAAATTTATAATAAATTAAAGTATACAAAATAAATATAAATACTTAGTAAAAGAAGATATAAATACTTAAAAATGAAAGCAAGCAACTTAAACGCTTTAGTTTGCATTAATTTGTAATAAATAAAATAGGAAATCGCCTAAAAAATTATATAAAATTAAATAATAATTTAGAAAAATAAAAAAATGCTTTAAAAAATTGTTATCAGTAATTTATTATTAATTTTTTTAGGAAAAACCGAGTTGAAGTGGGGCAAAATAGATCAATTGCTAATATGACCTTTAGTTACCATCAATTTAGAATTATTAACCAAATAAAAAATTCCACAAATATACAATTATTTAAGTACTAAATTATAAATATTTTCATATAGAAAATCCTACCTTAAATGGTGCAAATGAGATTATTAGAGAATAAGACCATCGGTTAATACTTAGTTGTAAGAATTTAAATATCAAATGGCTTTTAAAGTATTTAAAATTCAAAATTAGTTCCCTTAGATATACTAATAATTAAACAAATATCTACATACGAAATTATATATATGATATATTTTTTAAATATAATAAGTCTGAAGTGGGAGAGAAAAATATCAGCAAATCTTTGTCAAAAATGAGAATCTCCACAGGTGACAGTTTAAATTCCAATATTTATATATTTTAACCCAGCTACAGATACACTTTAAATATATAATAATACACTATTTATTTATTAATTTTTTCAATAATATTATAGGAATATTTCTTTTACATGAACAAATCAATATAAAAATACTACTACTGTGGCTTTTCCACTTAACATAAACTAGTATCTCAACTGCCTCTTAAAGAAAGATGCAAATATATAGAAACAGCTTAAGATACAGCTCCATCTGCACATTTTAAGATACAGATACAGATACAGCCACCTCTCCGCGCTCTCCCCAGAGGAAGATGGAGTAGTGGAAGGCAGCCACGAAGCTGTTTAATTAGATTTTCCGCTGCGAGATGTGAGCCGCGTGATTGAGTCACCACACACACATACACACACACACACAGCTTGGGAGGAAAAGGGAAATCCTTGGAGAAAAGCCCTGCCGATGCGGCGTTTGCTGGGTTTGCATTTTCGGGTTCGTCGAATTGAAGTTTTAATTAAAAGGCAACTACTATATATTCTTTCTTTTTTTTTTGTTGGGGCAATCAAATGCATTTGCAACACCTGCTGTCGTTAAGAATTTCCTTCGACTTATTAAAAACTGTCAGCATTATGTTAATTAGTCGTGGAAAAGCAGCTGGGAAACTGTGTGTGTGGGGAAAATGTCCCAGCAAATCAATCAAGATCCCCAAGAGGGAAAAGAGAAACAAAACACCAAAAGTGTCAACAAATTAACAAAAGAGAAAATTCTAAACAGAAACAAAATAAAAAAAAGGTGACCACGATGTTGCGACGTCCTTGATTAGCGTCCTTCGCTCCTCCTCCTCGACCAGCCTAATTTTAATGCAAATTCCAAGCTGGCGCCCCAAAGTATGCAGCAGAAATTTGATCAAATTTCGGCTCCTCGCCAAGGGATTTCCAGCTTTTCCAGGTGTCGCCATGTTTGTGTGTGTCTCTGCATGGGTGTGTGTGTGTGTGTTGGTCCCTTTTGGTGAAAGGCCAATTTGAATTTAAATGGAATATAGTGGGCAGAGTCAAGGATTCACAGAGATTTTAACGCAACTCCCCGCCCTTTCTTTAATAAGCTATTTAGGCTGGACCATATCGGTATATTTTGTGGGAAGTATTTGAAATTGTTAATAAAAAATATATATACAATATTAAATAGATTAATTATTATTATTAAAAAACACAAATATTTTTCCTTAGGAAAACTATCAAGAAAAGAATATACCATATCTATAAATTATTTTCTTATTTAAAACAAGAAAAGAAAGCTTATTTAGTTTAGTTTAGCAGTTCATTTACGCTTGCAGTTAACTATTTAATTATAAGATAAAATAGGAAATCGAAATATAATTAAGCATAATACATTATATATTATATTTTATTATAGTATTTTTTAATCAAAAATTTCGTTACTTTTATAGGGTAATTTTTGCAACATTTTACAGTTTTAAAAATCTCATTGCTATGCCAAAAAAGCCTTAATTTTAAATCGGAAAGCAGTTCCATGTTAGTTTTTAGTAGATTAATAAATCTGCATACTCAATTTAAAATGTAAAAAAATTAAATTTTTTTTGTAATTTTTAAGCCCTAAAATTTTGGGAAAAAAAACTAAAAAAAATTTTTTCTACCTAAGACAGCTAGATCGATCCGGCTGTTGATGCTGATCAAGAATATATATGATTTATAGGGTCGGAAATGATTTCTTCTCGTCGTTATAAGCTTTTGAGCGAATAAATATGTGGAATATTTGTTATTATTTTCTTAAGGAACTTAATTTTATTAAATACTAAAAAAAAATTAAAATTATCATTAATGTATAATTTATACTTTATATACTATATCCTGTACTTCTGATTAAAATAATAATACTGTACAAGATTTTAATAAATTAATTGATATGGTAAATTTGAATTATTCAATGACTCCCTAAAAAACATCGATATCGACTATCGTATCCATATTCTCTACAAAAGATATTATTATCGATACTTCTCCACTTCAATATCCCACGTCAAACAACATTTTCCAGTTGTCAGAAAGAAAAAAAAGAACATCAATTGTCTTGTGAATTTTCACCAATTTTCCCTTGGATTTAAAAAATGCGTCCTCGCTGCAATAAACCAGTTACACTCTTCTCGCCCGGCGGTCGTCTACTTCAAGTGGAATATGCCCAAAATGGTGTCCAGAAAGGATCCACCGCTGTGGGCATTCGTTGCTATAATTGTGTGGTGCTGGCTTTGGAGCAAAAGGAATTGATGCCACAGCAGATGGAGCATACAACGGAGAGGATTTTTTCCTTGGATAAGAACATGATAATGTCCTATGCCGGCATATCGCCCGATGCCCGTGTCTTGGTGGCCCGCGCACGTGCCAAGTGCCAGAAGCTGCGGGCCCTTAATGATGAGGATCCAGTCAGCGTTAGGCTTATCACTGAGTGAGTTTATCCAACATCTACACCATATATATACCAGTAAGATTAATTATTGAAAATAGATATTTGGCCAACTTGAAGCTAAAGTATACCCAGGCCCCCGATTGCCGTCCCTTTGGGGTCTCGTGTCTCATCGGTGGCTATGATGCCAATGTAAAGGCACGTTTATATCAAACTGATCCGTATGGGAATTATAGTGAATATATTGCCACGGCCATTGGACGTTCAGCACAAACGGCTCTGGCATATTTGGAAAAAGGATATGCCACTAGCTTTTTACCCAGCCGCCATCGGGCCATCAAGTTGGCCATTGGTGCACTGCTTTCGGTGAGTCATCCCGAACGCAGGGAATTCGAGGTGGTTTTGCTGAAGAGGAACAATCAGTTGGTGAAGTTGGAACAGGATGTTATAGCCGAATATGTGGCTAATATGGATGAATATATGGGTTAGATCACTGGAAATGCAGGGGGTACAGGAACTGGTGGAGGGAAGTAAGGTATTTAGTTTTTTATATTTATTTAAAGAGTGCTCTCTTTAGCTTCATTTTCATTCAAAAAATGTAGATTTAAGAAACATAAACACTTAATTGCAATTGGAAGTACTGAAAGTACTGGAAGCACTGGAAGTAAGCGGAAATAATGAAAGCGGAAGTAAGGCTGCCTTTTATATTTATTTATAGACTTCTCTTATCTTACTAAGTTCCTTTTTAACTTTCTTTGCATTCAAAAAAAAAACCTTTATATTTAGATATAAATGACATAAACACTTAAAAACAACAAAAACAATGCAATTGGAAGTACTAAAAGTACTGGAAGCACTGGAAGTAAGCGGAAATAATGAAAGCGGAAGTAAGGCTGCCTTTTTTATTTATTTATAGAGTCGTCTCATCTTACTAAGTTCTTTTTTTAGCTTTCTTTGCACTCAAAAAATCTTTAAATTAATTTATAATTCACATAAACACAAAAATAACCCAACTGGAAGTACAAAATATACTGGAAGCACAGGAAACGGAAGTTAGGTAGCACTTTAAATTTATTTATAAAATGTTCTGCTCTGTCTAAACTCTCCCTAAATATCTTTTGTACTTAAACAACTTTAAATTCATTTATATTTTATATACAAAAATATATAAGCATTTAAATGCAACACATAAAAACCGAATTTAAACTATAATAAAAAAAGAGCAAACATTGCATGTTCTTTATTTAATCTTGAAGGAAATGAAAGTTGAAACCACTTAAATGACGGCACCCTGGGGCAACGTATTTAAAAACAAATTAGAAGCTGGCCACTAATAAGTGCCATAACACTAACAGCCACCACCCACACCCTCCTCCTCCTCCCCCTCCCCCTCGTTGACCTGTGACCTCGGGCGGTTACCAAACGAGAGGAAAAGGCGCACGCTTAGGAAAAAGTTCAAGTGTCGAGTGCAAAATAAATTTCTTCCGCTGGAAACATAAAAAAAAAAAAATCAAGGAAAAAATAAGAAAAACAGAGGAAAAGCTAGGCAAAAAAAAACCAGAAGCAAAAGCAGCAGCGAAGAAAACACTTTAAGGCGTGACCGTGATGAGGAAACGGAAATGGAACATGAGCGGAAGTGGCCAATGCAGACTCGAAGGAATCGAATTCTCAGGCATTTCCCTTTCTTCCCAATCGAAGGTCAAGGGTGGGAATATCAGGGGATAAAATAATTTATATAATATAAATCATCTTTAATATAAATATTTTCATAATCTTTAAGCAGCTCCTCCTAAATTCAAGGCTCAATTACCATCAAGTCATCTCAAACGACATTTTCAAGTGGATAAGCTGCAGGTCATGTGTTTTCGTGTGAGCTTTTCTTTTCCACGAAAAGAACAAAAAAAAAAAGAGAAAAAGAAAACCGCAAAAGAAAATCGAAACCTGGGTACAACACAAGGAGCCGCGACATTATTAGCTCTATATTCCTGACAGACACTTTCAAAGGACTCGCTGTGCCAGTGGAACAGACAACTGAACGACCTGCACCGCCAACTTTCTGCCAGTAATATTCCAGCAACTGCAACCAGTTTTTTTACACAGAAAATAAATTTAGGAAAATATAAAATTAAGAAAATGTAAAATATGCAATATAAAGAATGAAAAAGTCAAGACTTAGGTAGATTAAAAACCTATACAGAATAAATTAAATAAAGATTGAATAAAAATAGAGAATAGAGAATTATATATATAATTAAAAGAATTATAATTATATAAATAAGAGCAAAGGATTTCAACTAAATCTATTTAAATAATAATTTATAAAATACTATATACTTAGAAATAATAATAAAAATACTATAATAAATAAAATAAGTAACACTTTGTAACTTAAAAAAAATACTATGTACCTAGAAATAATAATAAAACAAACTATAATAAATAAAATAAAAAACACATTTTATATTTAATATTAGCATTTAGCAGAATAATTAAATTTCAAATTAAGAAAATAATGGTAAAGAGAAAAGCATTTTAAATAATAACCAGTAAGAAAACAAACTTTGGAAAAATTTATCTTCTTAAAAATATTCTTAGATTGATTCGTCTGTTGATGCTGATTAAGAATATATATGATTTATAGGGTCGGAAATGATTATTTCACAGTTTTAAGCTTCTGACTAAAATTAGAAACACCTTACAAAGGTACATAATAATATATAATAATTATTTAAGACACTGTAATAATTAATAAATAAAAATAAAATAAATAATATTATTAATATAAATTAGAGAAATAGGAATTATAATAATAATAATAGTAATATAAGAATAATAATAAAATAATAGTTATATCATAATAATAATAATAATACTAATATAAGAATAATAATAATACTAATATAAGAATAATAATAATACTAATATAAGAATAATAATAATACTAATATAAGAATAATAATAATACTAATATAAGAATAATAATAATACTAATATAAGAATAATAATAATAGTCATATAAAAATAGTAATAACATTAAATTATAATGAAATTAATTAGAAACTGCTGTTAAAGAAGACAGCATTTACATATTTAAGACTGTTTAGTTAAACATAAATTATAATAATTCAAATTATATCTATATATAAATATAATATAAATAAATTATATATCTTTAGATAAATATTAATTTATATATATTTATTTGTATATATTTATTTTCATGTTTTTATTTATATATATTTATTTCTCTATAGTTTTTAGTATATATTTATTTTTAATTTAATTATATATTAATATTTATTTATATATATTTATTTATATATATTTATATATATTTATTTATATATATTTATTTGTATATATTTATTTAAATATATTTATTTATATATATTTATTTATACTTATTTATTTATTTATACTTATTTGTATATATTTTTTTGTATATATTTATTTGCATATATTTAATTCCCAGTGTAGTTGCAACAATATTAGTTGCAGCAGCAGCAACATTGACAACACCGTGTTTATATGCAACATTGACAACTTGGCGTGACGCGAAACGAACTTCGATGTTGCTGCTGTCGCTGATGCTGCTGCTCCTCCTGCTGCTGCTGTTACCATAAGCATAAGCATCACCATTACCGTTACTTGTGCAGTGCTCCAGCTTCAGCTTCAGCTCCTTATCCTGCTCCTGCTCCAGGACCTGCTCCATCTCCAGCTCCTGCTCCTGCTCCAGGACCTGCTCCTGCTCCTGCTCCTTGTGCCACTGCTCCTCCTGTTTGCAAGCAAGTCATAAAAGTTGTCTGACTCTGGCTTAGCCCAAGGTGGAGGCGGCGTCAAGGAATGGCTCCATGTGTGCCATATGCGGCTCCTGCTCCCTCGAAATGAAATGCAAAATGCGAAGCCATCGTCTCAAAAAATGCACTGAAAGAATGCTCTATGGGTTTTTCTCTTTTTTATATATTTATAGTTCTTATACCCGAATTTTTTCTATAATTCTCAAGTGGGGGTTATGAGTTTTTCTTATAATTCTCAAGTCATAGTTGAGGTGTATGCAAATTTACCATATTATTCAAGTTCTTGTTTGTTTCTTATAATTCCCAACTGCTAGGTTTGTGTATTGCTTATAATTCCCAAGTACTAGTTCAGGAATTGCAATTTTCTGATTTTTTCCAAGTTTCTATTACTTTATAGCCTTATTGTGGCCTATAATTCCCAATTTTTAATTTAGGGAATGCAATTTTTGCATTTCTTTTGGTGCATTTTACGCGGTAGCAGCTTTTGCATATCTCCTAAACCCCGACGACCTGGAATTCTCTCCTTTGAGCGTGTTGTGTGTGTGCGACTATATTACATTTTATGTCAAACGCGTACGCTTTCAATATTGACAGAGAGCGTCCTTGCTGCAGTCGGCAAAAGCGGATGCGGATGCGGATGCGAATGCGGATGTGGCCGCGTCACCTGTTCCGGCTCTAGCTCTCCCTCTCTCTCACTCTCCCACCTTAGCTCAGCCGTCAGCAACATCCTTGTTGCCAGGACTCCATGCTAATGTTAACTTATTTTCGTATATACATTCTTTTTTCTCTCTCATTCTTGACTGCTTGCCGCAAGTGACACATCTCCCTTTTCAAGCCAAAAAAAAATGTCGCCAAGTTATTTTCAAATAAAGAAAACGCAATTTCAGTTATCGCTATACATATATTCGCTGAAAAGGATGCAGGATACAGCTGGACCTTAGAAGGGTTCACCCAGTGGTTTGATGGTCAACTGATGCACCTGGACATGCGGTGGTGTGGCCAAAGCGTACATTATACTGGCGGCCACATCATCCGGTGTTAGCATGGGCAAACTTTCATAACCCGAAGGCAGGATCTCGGTGTCGGTGACACCAGGACTAATGCTCTGCCAAAAAGGATATCAACATTATTACTCTCCAAGAAAAATAAATAAATAATTAAGAATTAAACTAATCACAAACTCACAGTGACCTTAATTTGCGTCTTGAAACCTCGAAACTCCTGTCGCAATAGCTCCAGCAAAGCTTTTATGCCATGCTTTGTCAAAGGATACATATTGAGGACCTGCAGCTCTTCACCCGGTGGATTTATCAATGTTTCACCAGTGAGACTATTGATGAGCACCACATGACCGGCCACATCGCGTTGTTTCATCGAGCGATACGCACGACGTGTACAATTAACCACACCCATTAGATTCACATTTAAAACCTGCTGCAAATGCTCCAGCTCCAGGGTGAGCAACTGCCCGGGAAATAGACAACCGGCATTATTCACCAAAATGTCACAACCACCGAGTTGCTCTTCAATCCAATCAAAGGCAGCCGTCACCGAATCCAAATCCCCAACATCACAGTGAATGCAATGGAAACGAGATTGTAATTCTCCCGGAAACTCCTCTTTGATGGCCTCCATGCGATCCACACGCCGGGCTAGACCCACCACAACCACACCGGCATTGACCAGCTGGCGGGCAACGGCTGCTCCAATCCCAGAACTGGCTCCAGTGACCACAGCCACACGATCCTGCCAGCGATCCATCTTTCCAGTAGAATATATATTTTCTAATATATATTTCCACTATTTTTAAATATTTTTTCTTGTTCAAACTATCCCTGGCTGAGTCTCTTCTCAACTGAGTTCAGTTTGTGCCTGGTCGGAGCTTTATATAGAGCCCCGATTTGAACCCAGACCCATCCCAACTTGGCCTGGTACTTGGCTTTATTAATTATTTACTATCGAAACGCCCAAGCGCGCCGTTCACACGTGAAATGAATAATTGAGAGTATCATTCATCACTCAATTCGCGATGTGCCGCATTTATATAGTCGCAATTATGACGATTTTTTAAGCTTTTACTACTTAGGAGTTTACACTAGTAAACCTTCCGCATAATAAATCAGTTTCAAGTCATAAAAAAAATATCTAAATAGAACTATAGGTAAACAAACAGAAATATAAACAAATAAATCACTTAAGAAGTTTAATATGTATTTTGCGTTTTACACCTTTTCTAAATAAATCTGTTGGGAGCTATAAAAAATATATATAGAACTAGCTAAACAAAGTAATAAACAACAAATAAATCAGTTGGAAACTAAAGTACATATTTTGGATATTTAAAATCTGATGAAATATATATAAGGGTTTTATTTGTTTATTATACTATTAAGTTATTTTAAAGATTTGTATTTATTTTATTTTATTAGTTTAAGTTAGGTTAAGTTGGTTTTAGTTTATTAAGTTGGCAAAAGCAGTAAGTAATTAAAAACCATATAATGATATTATTAAATAAGTTTACTGAACAAAATATGTATATTATAGACATATTTTAGCACAAAACTAAAGCTTCCTAAAATTAATATAATATAAGACTTTTCAACAAAGAAAATTATAAATTAATTTGATTTTATAATTTTAAGAACTTTACTTAAGACTCTGCTGTTTTTATACCCTTCCAAAAAAGGGCATTTTAAGTTTAGTCAGAAGCTTAAAACTAAGTGAAATAATCATTTCCGACCCTATAAATCATATATATTCTTGATCAGCATCAACAGGCGAAACTTTCTAGATATCTCTGAGAGAAAAATTTTTTTGTTAATTTTTTAAAGGATTAAATTGACAAGAAAAATATTTAAAAAAAAATAATTTTTTTTACATTTTAAACAGAGTAAGCAGATTTATAAACCTTATAAAAACTGACATGGGACAGCTTTCCGATTTAAAATTAATGCATTTTTGGCTGAGTTATGCATTTTTTAAACTTTGATTTATTGAAGAAATTGCCATATAAAATTATTTATTAATATAGATTCAGAGAATGCGAATAAATACAAATTAAAAAATATAGATTCAGAGAATACGATTAAATACTAACTAAAATCAAAACAAATTTCAAATTAAAATGAAATTTTCAAAAGCTTTAGTTTATTTAATAATGTATGTATAAAATATGTATAATATGTAGCATAGATACATTTTATTATATAAAATATATGTATATATATTTGTATTTATAACCATGAATGTATAGCAGTGCCTTGATTACTTCACAAATTATTTAGAAACCAGTGCTTTCGATATTTAAATATTCAAATGGATTACAGTGGTCCTGGTCAGTGTCCTAGCCCTAGAAGGGTTCCCCCATGGGCTTTATGGTCAGCTCATGCACCTGGACATGCTCTGGAGTGGCCAAAACATACATTATGGCATTGGCCACATCCTCGGCCCTAAGCATGGGCAGCGATTTGTAAGCCTGTGGCACTATCTCCGTGTCCACCAATCCAGGACTAATGCTCTGGTTAAGAACAGATTGTAAATAAATGATATATGAATTTCTGGCGTCTAATTTAGACCTTCAATTGTTCACTTAACGACTGTAAGGTCATAAAAATGCAAGTAATTAAAGTGCACAAATGGTTAGTTCAGTAATAACCAGATTTAATGTGATTTTAATTAACAATATTTAGTACCCACCGTGACCTTAACTTGGGTCTTAAAGTCCCTCATCTCCTGGCGGAATAGTTCAGTGAGTGCGGTCACCGCATGCTTGGTGGCAGGATATATATTCAATTCCTGCTGACTTCCAGGCAACGGATTAAATAGATAATGTCCCACAATGCTATTGATAAGCACCACATGACCTGTGACCTGCCGTTGCCGCATCGAGGCGAATGCCCGCTGTGTGCAACTAACCACACCCATCACATTCGTCTGGAGCACCTGCTGGACCGTGTCCAGCGACAGGGTCAGCAATTGGCCACCGGATAGCTTTCCAGCATTATTCACAAGTATATCAATGCCTCCCAGCTCTTCGATTATTGCCTCAAAGGTGGCATTAACTGCTTCGATATCGGTGACATCACACTGATAAATATGAAGCTGCGATTGCTGTTCCTCCGGGAGTTCCCGGCGCAGTTGCTCCAGACGATCGAGACGACGGGCCAGAGCCACCACTATCACACCGGCGGAGACCAGGCGACGGGCTAGCTCTGCTCCAATCCCTGAACTGGCACCAGTCACCACAGCCACCCGATTTTGCCAACGTTCCATGACAACGATTGCCAGCGAAATGAAATCAAAGATCACAGATCTCTACGAGTTGAGATGCTGCTCCTCAGGTTTTTTACACATCGAAAAAATCCTTTAAGTTAAATATTTGAAATTTAATTGATTTGTAAAATCAAATATTATAAGATTTTTTTTAGACTCAACACGAGTCTATTTTCCCCTTCTCAAGACATCACATTTTTTATAGAAAATCTTGGGTTTATTAGAGAGTTTATGATAGCTGAACACATATCATATTATTTTTGTACATCACTTGTAATATTTTCTTAAAAAAAATAGTTAATTAATAGCTAAACACCACTTTAGTTTTTTCTTCACATCACTTCAGGTATATTTTAAAGATAAATATACTTTGAATAAGTAATTGGCATAAGAATAAAAATATGCTTGCCTAAAACCATATATATTCAATTTCTCTATTAAAAAAGAAGCTTAATTAATAAAGAGTATTGAATAAATTAAACTAAATTTCACTATAATTTTTTAAAATTATAAATAAAAGTCTTCCCTTTTCTTTGAGTGGACTTACGTCCACCGAATTGCATTACGATTTCTGATTGCATAATCCAGCTCAACCGCAAATGGAAATGATCGGATTGCGGTTTAAGAGAAACCACAAATGTTTCATGGGGGAACTAGATTACGTTTGTTTCTTTTATAGATTTACGATACATTTAATATATATTTTGTATAGATTTAAGATAGATTTAATATAGATTATGTATAGATTTCATATGGATTTAAACAAGATATTAGTAAGAATTAAAAATTGATTTAATGTAGATTTTGTATAGATTTTTGTGTATATTTTGTGTAGATTTTGTATAGTTTTAAGGAAGATTTTATAAAGATTTTGTATAGATTTAAGATAGATTTTATATACATGTAAGATAGTATTAATGTAGATTTAAGATAGATTTTGTTGTAGATTTTGTATAGACTTAAGATAGATTTTGTATAGATTTAAGATAGGCTTTATGTAGATTTTGTATATAATTTGTATAGATTTGGTATAGATTTAAGATAGAATTTGTATAGATTTAAGACAGATTTTATGTTGATTTTGTGTAGATTTTGTATAGAATCTGTATAGAATCTCTATAGATTCTGTGTATATTTTGTGTAGATTTTGTATAGACTTAAGATAGATTTTGGCTGGCAAAAATCCTCCAGCTGAACCCTCCCCGAGGGCGCCGGCTGGGCAATGGACACTGTATTACCCCGTACAATGGTAACGCTGTGGCGCATGCTCTGTCCGGGGTAATACAGTGTCCAGCTAAGGCTTCGATTCCAATCCTCCCGCTTAAAAGCCGGTGGAAATGAATCACTAGCCATGGTTGGAGGTGCAAGTGGGTGGTTCCCCTGAAATCAACCCAAATTTTTGGCCGGGAAGATATTGTATAGATTTAAGATAAATTGTACGTAGATTTAGTACATATTTGTATACATTTTGTATAGATTTTTTATATATTTTGTATAGTTTTAAATTAGATTTTATGTAAAGATTTTGTAAAGATTTTCTATAGATTTTGAATAGATAGATTTTATAATGATTTAAGATAAATTTTATATTTATATTTAAGATACATTTTATATAGATTTCGTAAAGATTTAAGATAAAATCTATATATTTATGTAGATTTTTTTTGCAGATTTTGGAAAGATTTTGTAGAGATTCAAAATAGATTTTGTATAGATTTAAGACAGATATTGTGAAGCTTTTGTATAGATAAAAAAATATATTTGATGTAGATTTTGTAAAGACTTAAGATATTTTTATGTACATTTTGTATAGATTTAAGAAAAATTTTATGTAGATTTTGTATAAATATAATATCTTTTATGTAGATTTTGTGTAGCTTTTTTATAGATTTTGTGTAGCTTTTGTATAGATTTTGTTTAATTTTGTAGATTTAAAATAGATATTGTGAAGATTTCGTATAGACTTAAGATATTTTATGTAGATCTTTTTTATCTTTTGTATAGATTTAAAAATATTTCATATAGATTTAAAATATATTTCATATAGATTATGAATAGACTTAAGATATTTTATGTAGCTTTTGTGTAGTTATTGTATAGATTTGGTATAGATTTCAAATAGATTTCTTGTAGATTTTGTAAAGATTTTGTGTAGCTTTTGTATAGAATTTGTATAGATTTGGTAAAGATTTGAGATAGAATTTGTATAGATTTAAGATTGATTTTATGTAGATACTGTATAGATTTAAGATTGATTTTATTTAGATATTGCACAGATTTTGTAATGATATAAGATAAATTTTATTTAGATATTGTATAGATTTTGTATAGATGTTGTATAGATTTGAGATAGAATTTGTATAAATTTAAGATAGACTTTATGTAGATATTGTATAGATTTTTTAGAGATTTTGTATAGATTTTGTATAAATTATGTAAAGATTTTGTATAAAGTTAAATAAATTTTGTAAAGATTTAAGATAGATTTAATGTAGATATTTTAAAGATTTTGGATAGATGTTGTATAGATTTAAAATATTTTATGTAGATTTTGTGTTGCTTTTTTATAAATTTTGTATAGGTTTTAAATAGATTTTATGTAGATTTTTTTGTAGATTTTAAGTAGATTTTGTATAGATTTAAAATAAATGTTATGTAGATTTTGTGTATATTTGGAGTAGATTTTGTATAGATTTAAGATTTTGTACAGATTTAAGATGGATTTTATGTAGATATTGTATAGATTTAAGATAGATTGTAGATTCTGTAGATATTTTATGTAGATTTTGAATAGATTTAAGATTTTGTACAGATTTAAGATGGATTTTATGTAGATATTGTATAGATTTAAGATAGATTGTAGATTCTGTAGACATTTTATGTATATTTTGTGTAGAATTTGAATAGATTTAAGATTTTGTACAGATTTAAGATGGATTTTATGTAGATATTGTATAGATTTAAGATAGATTGTAGATTCTGCAGATATTTTATGTAGATTTTGTGTAGATTTTGAATAGATTTAAGATTTTGTACAGATTTAAGATGGATTTTATGTATATATTGTATAGATTTAAGATAGATTGTAGATTCTGTAGATATTTTATGTAGATTTTGTGTAGCTCTTGTATAGATTTAAGATATTTTATGTAGCATTGTGTAGTTTTTCCTTATATTTGTGTAGATTTAGTTTATATTTAAAATAAATTTGATGTAGATTTTGTGTATATTTGGAGTAGATTTTGTATAGATTTAAGATATTTTATGTAGCATTGTGTAGTTTTTCTATATATGTTGTGTAGATTTTGTATAGATTTAAAATAAATTTTATTTAGATTTTTTGTGTAGGTTTTTTGTAGATTTGAAGTAGAATTTTTATAGATTTAAAATAAATTTTATGTAGATTTTGTGTAGATTTGGAGTAGATTTTGTATAGATTTAAGATATTTTATGTAGCATTGTGTAGTTTTTCTATATATTTTGTGTAGATTTTTATAGATTTAAAATAAATTTTATGTAGATTTTGTGTAGATTTTGAGTAGATTTTGAGTAGATTTTGAGTAGATTTTGTATAGATTTAAGATATTTTATGTAGCTTTTATGTAGTTTTTGTATAGATTTTGTGTAGATTTTGTACAAATTTTATATAGATTTTAGATAGAGTTTGAGTAGAAATTAGATAGAATTTCTGTAGATTTTGTAGAGAGATTTAGATAGTCTTTTTATAGGTGTTAGATAGATTTTATATAGAAATTGTTTAGATTTTGTGTTTATATTGTGTAGATTTTGTTTAGATTTTTTGTAGACTTTGTGTATTTTGTTCTAGATTTTGTATAGACTTAAGGTAGATTTAAGAAACATTTTTTATTGATTTTATTCCTTTGCAAATTATTGATTTAACATAGATTTAGGATAGATTTTATGTAGATATTGTATAGATTTTTTAGAGATTTTGTATAGATTATGTATAGATTTTGTATAGATTATGTAAAGATTTTGTATAAAGTTAAATAAATTTTGTAAAGATTGAAGATAGATTTAATGTAGATATTTTATAGATTTTGTATAGATGTTGCATAGATTTGAGATTGAATTTGTATAGATTTATAATAGATTTTATGTAGATACTGTATAGATTTAAGATTAATTTTATTTAGATATTTGTGTTTGAGTTTGTGTAGATCTAAAACATATTTTGTATAGATTTAAGATAGATTTTGTATTGATTTGTATAGAGTTCAATAAATTTTGTATATATTTAAGATAGATTTTATTTAGATATTGTACAGATTTTGTAATGATATAAGATAAATTTTATTTAGATATTGTATAGATTTTGTATAGATGTTGTATAGATTTGAGATAGAATTTGTATAGATTTAAGATAGATTTTATGTAGACATTATATAGATTTTGTAGAGATTTTGTAGAGATTTTGTAGAGATTTTGTAGAGATTTTGTATAGATTATGTAAAGATTTTCTATAAAGTTAATTAAGTTTTGTATAGATTTAAGATAGATTTTATGAAGATATTTTATAGATTTTGGATAGATGTTGTATAGATTTAAGATATTTTATGTAGATTTTGTGTTGCTTTTTTATCAATTTTGTATAGGTTTTAAATAGATTTTATGTAGATTTTTTTGTAGATTTTAAGTAGATTTTGTATAGATTTCAAATAAATTTTATGTAGATTTTGTGTATATGCTGTAGGTTTATATATTTTATATATTTTATGTAGATTTTGTATAGATTTAAGATTTTGTACAGATTTAAGATGGATTTTATGTAGATATTGTATAGATTTAAGATAGATTGTAGATTCTGTAGATATTTTATGTAGATTTTGTGTAGCTCTTGTATAGATTTAAGATATTTTATGTAGCATTGTGTAGTTTTTCCTTATATTTGTGTAGATTTAGTTTATATTTAAAATAAATTTGATGTAGATTTTGTGTATATTTGGAGTAGATTTTGTATAGATTTAAGATATTTTATGTAGCA